GTGTGTGTGTGTGTGTGTGTGTGTGTGGATGGTTCCTCCCCTTGTGGCATGTCTATGTGGCTAACTCTGCAAAATTAAGACAGGTGAAATTACTAATTTGCTATACTATTTTTGGCGTAGCATGGTCTGTAAATTTACGCTAGCAAAGTTAACTGAGCGCTGGGACAACCGCTGCTATATAGTTATTATACTGGAACCATTTTGAACGTTTCATGACCTGATGAATTGCTTTACTTTGGGAAAGGGGGGGGGGGTGCTGAAGATCATTGGGTGTTTCAATTGTGAAATTCTGGAATCGTGACAAAGGTACGTCATCTGAAAGCACTCTTTTGCCAGACTTTTGGATATGGATGCACGCTAAAAAAGTAGACATTCACAAAGTGCCCAAAACCTGTAGATCGAACTAATGGGCCCTCTTTTGGGGCCTTTTAAAGTTCTCTAACGGTGAACTTTGCCTCTGGCTATTGTTGGCGCAAGCGGGATGGTTCAGAGTCAAGAAATCTTTTGTTGGATGGCTTGGGATGCCCAACGAACAAATCCCACGGAAATTGAGAGGGAGGAGGAGGAGGAGGAGGAGGAGGAGGAGGAGGAGGAGACCATACATATGGACTGCCAGGGAATAACTCTGCCTATCATTTAAGGAAGATAGGAAGACAAGTTTCTTATTTCTATGAAGCGTGTCCACACCGAGCAAATTCCATGGATATCTAGTCTGATGTATCGTATGTCTTTCCATAAGCAACGAAGCTTTCACCTTCAATTTCTTTTTATTTCTTCAGAGAGAATTGGTTATCTCAATAAATACTCCTTTCACGTATGTGACTTTCTGGGTAAGAAAATTATATAGATCAGGCTCTCGTAACGTTTTGCCAATTTATATAATCAGTGTTACGTATGAAATACGACCTAGTAATGAGTTGTTTTCGTTTTTAGGCCTAGTTCAAAATGTCGAGAGTATGGCTTTTGATATTGCAGTCATATTATATAGAGTGCAAAAAACGTATTAATCTCTATGGCGTAATATCAAAGCTATTATAATAATAATAAT